CTCAAAGCCTGTGAATGTTTGTTTCATAAGGAAAGGGACAAATTTGAAGATATGATAAAATTGAAGAGTTTAATGTAGAGAGATCATCCTGGAACATCTGTGAATTAGTTCCTTTCATGTAGCTGTGATCAAAATGCTTGGGAGAACAGCAGTAAGGAAGACAGATTTATTTTAGCTCATGGTTTCAGGGAGCTCAGCCATAATCACTCTGCTCCATATTTCTGGGCCTGCGTGAAGCAACATTGCTACAGGAACATGTGGCAGAGGAGGGTTACTTCATAGCAGCCGGAAGGAGGGAGAGAGAGAGAGTGAGGGAGGGGAGAAAGGGAGGGAAGGAGGAGAGACAGAGGAGAGGGAGGGAGGGAGGGGGAGAGAGAGGGGGAGAGAGAGAGAGAGGGAGAGAGGAGAGAGAGCAAGGCTCCACCTCCTAAAGGTTCCACAACCTCCCAACAGAGCCACTAGCTGGGGACCAAGTATTCAAATACACAAGTCTATGGGGTCATTTCTCATTCAAATCACTACAATATTTATTCCTGCTTTCAATGTCTTTGATTTTATATGCCTACAAGTGGAATCTCTGGGCATGTGGTAATTCGCATTTAATGTTTTGAGGGCTACTCAAACTGCTTACACAGCAGCTGCAACATTTTTACATCCCACCAGCAAAGAACAGGGCTCCATTTTCTCCCCATTCCTGCAGTACCTTTTCTTTTTCTTTTGAATAGTCATCCTATTACATGTGATAATAGTTCATTATACCTTGAGTTCGCAGTTTTGTAGTGACTAGTGCTGCCAGGCAATGCCTGATTGGCAATTGTATATTTTCTTTGAGGAAGTGTCAAGTCAAGACCTTGTCCCATTTTTTAATGAATAAAAGTTAGTGGAAAACACCTGTTTGAAGGTTTCACTAGTCTCTTCTGTTAACTTCAGACTCTGCCATAGTCATTTTTAAATTTCTACTACCTAGTATTGATTCTGGGGCATAGTAGGCACTATGTAAATATTTGCTCAATAAATTAATTATTGAACAAATTAACCCAACAGTCAATTAATCAGCATGAAGGGCCTTTCAAAATTCATCTTCCTGAACAGAGTTTTCCAAACAGCTGATCAGTTTGCTCATGTGAACTCACAGCAATGGTGACAGCATTCACAAGTCCCATGTAAGCTGAAACCAGACAAAATCCCAGCACAAATGTGGGGAGGTGGATAAGAAACTCCAACCCTACCTGGCGACTATTGACGACCAATGGCTTCTGGAAGGAGAGACAGTGTCTTCAAGAATGGCCCTATTGGTAGGTTAACCAGGCTCCAGTGGATGGACTCACACTGAAGGACACTTGGGGACACAAATTAGATAACACAGGTCTTATTTTATATATTATATATAGTAGGGTACATTAAATAGTTCAGAAGATAGTGAGGGGAGGTGCTGATCTAAAATAGGATCAAATATGTTGTATGAAAAATTGCAAAAATTCAATTTAAAAAAGGGGTTGCAAGGATGAGGGTTCTGGTAAGGAAGTGTGATATAAGCATGCAGTATTTCTGTGAACAGAGATCTTGCTGTATTTGCAAGCAAGAAACAAACCTAATAGCTGATCACTTGTGCTGGCCTTCAGCTTTGAAATGAGTCTGAGAATTTCTAATGCTCTTATCCTTTAGCAATATTGAGCTGGAGGAAAGGCAGGAAATAGGGGATAATAAAAGAAACATTCTTTTCGATTTTTTTCATCAAACATTGAGGTGAAAATATAAATTAATACTTTAGCTTTAACTTTTCTTGTTATAAATTCAAAACTTTTCAGACATATTAAATGATTAATTTGAATTTTACCTTGAAACAACATACCATATATTGTTACAGATCACTGAAACTAATCGAATTTCTTATCAATTCAACACACATATTAAAAGTCCTACTTAAGCTTGGAATGAAAGTTTTTAGTTTTTTTGGTTTTTTTTTTTTTAATTTTTTTGCCCTGAAACAAAGATTCAGTGTTTCAGTCAATCTCTTTTAAGTCTTGGCCAATAATTAAAATTAAAAGACTGTAGAAGGCCTATGCAAGTAGTTGTGTCCATTGTATGAGCCTTGGGTTATTGTGATTCCCCAGGCTGTTGGTAAAACTAAGGAATTTGTAGGTCTTAGTGCCAAGTCCCCAGCCTCTTCACATGACTTTCAGCGGATCTCCAAGGGAGAAAGTTCAACTCAGCTCATGAGCTGGGAATAAAGTCAACCCTCATCCTCCTAGCCTTAAGTTGGCTGTGTGACACTCTCTTATGAGTAGACAGCTTGGTGACCAGTTATTTCATGTCATGTTTCCTTGCACGTTCTTGATCTTATGTGCTCAGTTGCTGTGGTACTGCCCTGGTACCATCCATTTGTCCTCAGTGAAGTCTCTCCCAGGCCACCCTGCCAACAGCCAAGTGCCTGTGAGGTACCTCACACCCAGTGCTCTGGAGCTCCAGGAGGCCTGGCTGAGAGGCTGACTATGTGTCTTGAGTGTATCCCCATGCATAGGCTGGGGTTGGAGCATCCTCAGGGAGACCTGGTTGGGGGTAGAAGGCTGGAATCATAATATG